AAAAAGAGTCATTATGGCTTTTGGCCTCTGCCCAACGTAGGGCTCTTCCTCTCAACAGCCCCACGATGTAGGAGATCTTAGCCGAGTCTGAAGAAAAGGCTGTAGAGCAACGTTGGAATGCTAGTTGGCACTGTAGTAAAAAACTGTGGCATTCCTCAAACTCACCATCGAAGGTGACTGATGGCGGGGATGGAGCAACACGGAAGTAGGTCTCGTTCCAGGACCTTACTGTTTCCGGTCCAGGACTTCCGGCGGCAACCTGACCTACTGCTGAAGGTTCAGCTGAAGGGGGTGGCTGGTGTGTGTGGGACAGGGCTTCTTGAATTTGACGAACCATATTTTCCAATTGCTGATAACGTTGGTTAGCTGCTGTAAGTTGTTCCATAAGTAAAAGGAGAGTTTGTTCCTGCTGAGATAAGCGATGAGAGATGTTAGAGAGAACTGATTCTGCGGGGTTAGCGTTTTGGCCGGATGATTCTGTCATGTTGTGGGGCAAGAGTCTAACCCAGGACATGCAGAATCAGAGTCAGAGTCAGATTGTATAAAAAATAATATTTATGGACGAAACGGTGAACTAAGGGCACACTGGAAAATCCAGCGGGTGCAGAAACGGGAAGCAGCGTCTAGAGGGAAAAGTAGCAGAGGTGAGTATGGGAGTTGTAGAATGGCAGGGGAACTGCTGGCTGAGGGACTTAAGGCTTAGATAGATGAAAAGCGTGTGGGAGGGATGAGCGGGGGTAAGTCCAGGTAATGATTGTGGAGCGGTAGAGGTGAATGAGGAATGGGATCCGGACCTGTGTGGTTCTGGAGAGGGAGCGAGAGGTGGAGGAGATCGGGTTGGCACTTGGAGGAGGGTGAACCAGGAAACGAACCAGATTAAAATCCAAAAAGGCGTCGGGGAAAACTCTGATGATTATCCAGACCTGAGGTGGGGTAAAATCCAAAAATAGAATTAATCCAAGTCACAAGAGAAATACACGAGAGAACAAGAGCAGAGATAAGCGAGGGCTAGAGACTACCAGTCAGTAGTTAATCATCCAGCGTCGAATCATGTCCACCTTCCTCCTTATAAACCGGCCCGCTGATCAGTTGATTGGAAACAGCTGTTGCTCCCTCTCCTGAAACCAAAACACTCAGAGATAGTGAGATGATGAGACGAGTACTCACCCCGGCTCATGACATCAGCAGGTTCAGCTTTTATTCTGAAGGAACCGTTGTTTGTTGATAACAACGACAGGATTTCCCAGCTTGGCAGTTCTTAGCTTAAAAAGGAAAGTATAGATGGCCGGTCCGTACATTACTTAGCATGCGGTGAACTTCAAGGGATCTTGAGATCTCGTTGAATACTGGACTTAAAATGGCGTTGGACTGTTTTATTAATCTTGATGTTTATGATTCTGGACGAATCAAAGCTGACAGATTAAATAAACACCACAGAGACTCTGCCTCGCTTCAGACGTGAAGGTTCTGATTGGATCAGTGACAACAATGTGTCAGCGTGTCTAGTGGCTAGAATAAGTCATTTACTTATTAAAACATATTAATCATAATATTGTTATTTCACGGATCTGTCACATGGTTATTATTGACTAACAGTTGTTTTGATTAGCTTTTATTGAAAATAGAGTTCTTTGGATTTTAATAAAAGAAAAGAAAGCAGTCTTCATCTTCTGTCTTCATTGCTGGAATGTAAACAGTTTAGAAGTGAATGCATGACCTTGAGGCTGTTTCTTGCACTCTGGCGCTATGTCAAAGGGACTGTGGAAAATATTAAATAACCTTGGCTGAAATAGCTCCTTCATTATGTTACAGCTACCTAGAAGCATCAACAGCGTAGAACGGCAGCTGACCAGTTTACTCACCAGTTTTGCTGTGTGCCAGTACACACCGGGACAATCTCAGCGGCAGAGCGGGTTCTCCGCCATGATCCTCTGACTCGCGGGATCACGAAATCACTTGAGTCTTCAGAGGTCATGGTTTGTTTATGCCATCTACCATTAAACCAAGAAAAAGGAAATCACTTTTGATATCATTGTTTGATGTCATTTATGATGTTGTTCTTCTCGACTGCCAGGATTAAAGTCACAATAAACACATTGTTGGACTTCTCGAACAATGCAGGAACTAAATAATTTGTTAGGTCACTTGTATTGATGTAATATACTTAGATACGAAATTGCATTGCTGCAATAGTCGTATCTTGAAAGCTACTGGAGGTTTTACAATGAAACCGTGTGATTTCCTGTCTCGCCCAATGTTAACTGCAGAAGATTGAGGTATCCCAGAACTGGCTTGTGGCAAAGTAGAAACCAATCTGATCTTCAGTGGCACAGAATGACGCAGCACAGCCTGACAAGTTGTCTCTAGTCTTGTCTAAAAACGTCTATGTCGTGGCAGGTTTGAATCACCCCCACAGACCACAGTATAATGGATTCTGATGCAGCGACGCTTCGCTGCTGTTCCGTGCCGCTGATGCTTCCAGTGTGAAACGGGTGAGGAGCTTCGTCATCTGGGGGAGAATTAGAGTCTCGTTAGATCTTTTACCTCCGTGATCTGGAACTTAGATAGGTGGTGAAAAAAAAAAACAAATCTGTATTAACAGTAATGTGTAATTTTAACAAGACGAACACGAATTATTTTGAATTTGTATTTTTGCTAGCAGCTACCTCCAAATGGAACATGGCTGCGGTGCAGTTTGTGTTGTGGCTCAAATGCACGTTCATGCTTTAATCTATTCATATGTGAACTGGATGGTAAATTACGACACCCTGCACAAAACACCATGCAGTTATTCTGAAGGGAAAGTTTCACATTTTCGCCGGCATTTAAAGCTTTTTGTTTTACTGCATGTTGTAGTTTTTAAGATGACGGCTTCCAAAATGCAAATGTCAACACCAGACTAATAACCTGCTGAAATTATGAAAATCAAAAAGGAATGCATATATATATATATATATATATATATATATATATATATATATAGTTATATATATATATATAGTTATATATATATATATAGTTATATATATATATATATATAGTTATATATATATAGTTATATATATATATATAACTATATATATAGTTATATATATATAGTTATATATATATATATAACTATTTATATATATATATATATATAACTATATATATATATATATATATATATATATATATATATATATAACTATATATATAGTTATATATATATATATATATATATATATATATATATATATATATATAACTATATATATAGTTATATATATATATATATATATAGTTATATATATATATATATATATATATATATATAACTATATATATATATATATAACTATATATATATATATATATAACTATATATATATATAACTATATATATATATATATATATATATATATATATATATATATATATATATATATATATATATATATATATATATATATATATATAGTGTGGCCAGGTGTGTGTTATTCCCTCATTATCCCAATTACAATGAGCAGATAAAAGGTCCAGAGTTCATTTCAAGTGTGCTATTTGCATTTGGAATCTGTTGCTGTCAACTGTCAAGATGAGATCCAAAGAGCTGTCACTATCAGTGAAGAAAGCCATCATTAGGCTGAAAAAACACAAGAAACCTATCAGAGAGATGGCAAAACATTAAGCGTGGCCAAAACAACAGTTTGGAAACATTCTCAAAAAAAAGGAACGGACCGGTGAGCTCAGCAACACCAAAAGACCTGGACGACCACGGAAAACAACTGTGGTGGCTGACCGAAGAATCCTCTCCCTGGTGAAGAAAACACCCTTCACAACAGTTGGCCAGATCAAGAACACTCTCCAGGAGGTAGGTGTATCTGTGTCAAAGTCAACAATCAAGAGAAGACTCCACCAGTGTGAATACGGAGGGTTCACCACAAGATGTAAACCACTGGTGAGCCCCAAAAACAGGAAGGCCAGATTAGAGTTTGCCAAACAACATCTAAAAAAGCCTTCACAGTTCTGGAACAACATCCTATGGCCAGATGAGACCAAGCTCAGCTTGTACCAGAGTGATGGGAAGAGAAGAGTATGGAGACGGAAAGGAACTGCTCATGATCCTAAGCATACCACCTCATCAGTGAAGCATGGTGCTGTAAGTGTCATGGCGTGGGCATGTATGGCTGCCAGTGGAACTGGTTCTCTTGTATTTATTGATGATGTGACTGCTGACAAAAGCAGCACGATGAATTCTGAAGTGTTTCAGGCAATATTATCTGCTCATTTTCAGCCAAATGCCTCAGAACTCATTGGACGGTGCAGATGGACAATGACCCAAAGCATACCACAAAAGCAACCAGAGTGTTTGAAGGGAAAGAAGTGGACTGTTTTGCAATGGCCAAGTCAATCACTTGACCTGAATCCGATTGAGCATGCATTTCACTTGCTGAAGACAAAACTGAAGGGAAAATGCCCCAGGAACAAGCAGGAACTGAAGACTGTTGCAGTAGAGGCCTGGCAGAGCATCAACAGAGATGAAACCCAACGTCTGGTGATGTCTATGTGTTCCAGACTTCAGGCTGTAATTGACTGCAAAGGATTTGCAACCAAGTATTGAAATGTATGTTTGATTTATTGTTCTTATTCTGTCCCATTACTTTTGGTCCCTTAACAAGTGGGAGGCACAAATGCAAACTGTTGTAATTCCTACACCGTTCACCTGATTTGGATGTAAATACCCTCAAATAAAAGCTGACAGTCTGCAGTTAAAGCACATCTTGTTCGTTTCATTTGATATCCATTGTGGTGGTGTATAGAGCCAAAAATGTTAGCATTGTGTCGATGTCCCAATATTTATGGACCTGACTGTATAGACATTGACAAACATAATTGAATTCATTTGACACTGAGAAACTACTCCAAGCATCGCTCATATTCCGTGGAGTTTTTCCAGATTAAATAATGTTTCAGGCTTGTTGTGACATCGCAAGTTTTTCTGTGTTTCTTCTTGCAGGCTTCCCCTGCAGCCCTGGCCAAGTGCGTCCTGGCAGAAGTACCCGGTCAAGTAGTTGAGTATTTCAGCCACAAGGCCATCCCCCCCATGAGCCCGATGAGAGAATTGCTGAGCCCCATCCTGAGCCCAGTTGCCACCACCCCGACAGAATAACGGGCCGCTTTGTTCCTGTAACGACCTTTGAGCACAGTGCCAGTCCGGCCGACCAATGGGGGAGGGTGAAGATGCATGTCTTTCACCACTTTGGACTAAAACTGAAGAGAAAATCCTTCTCAACATGTTATTTATTTTTCACTCTCAGCAAAATGTTTACACAAGGACAGATTTCCAGAGGTTGTGGTTCATATTCCTGTGCTCAATGTGGACTGAGCACTCATACCTGACTGACCATCCAGCTGTTTCAGCGCCATGAGTCCTGATTTTTGAGCATGTTGGGCCAGACCCCCAGTGATTTCAATTTTTGTTTTTGCGCATAAACTACAGTATCTCACTTTAGTCTAATATGTTCCCCTTCTTCCATTCAATATTTAGGTCATTTTTAAACACACTGCAATCCGTATTGAATTGTTGCTTGACAATATTTAATCACGATAAATGAATCACGGAAAATGCTGCGGTTTATTAATCAGACTTTTCTGAGTGTTTTTCTGGGAGAAAGATTGGCCTTAATTTAAAATACAGTGTTTTTCCCCATAAAAGCTCATAAATGTAAATCTAATCATGGAAATCGGACCTTAGCAGACACTGTAAATATATATTTTTTAAACTTAAGGCTAAAATGTACATTTTGTTCCAGTCATTGACAATAAATCAAAAACTGCCCTGCAGGCATGGACGTAGTTTTGGGGGTGGGGGCGGGGGGCCATGACCCCTCCTCTCCTTCACTGGTGGAGCACTAGGACCAAGCAAAAAAGAAAACAACTGCTTGTGTTGAAGCCTGTTTCCCTTTAGACCCATCCATAAGCTCATCTATTGGCTCTGCTGATACTTGCTAACGTGTGATTGGCTGTTCCTGCCACCTGTGTACTTGACAGTTCTGCATTCTTGACACGGCATAGAAGAGCCTCTAGAATGTAGTTTTATACATATTTTTAGTATACTTACTGTAAAGACCCCCCCCCCCTCCCCGTCCTCATACCAGTTGTGTCCCCCCACTTCTAAAGTTAAAACTACGTCCATGCCTGCAATTGCAGTAAATGACATCTAATATTTGTAAAATAATCATAAATAACACATTCTAAATAATCATTGTGTACGTTTAGTTTAAAAAGCCACACCATCTCCTTTTTCCTTCCTCAGTTTCTCAGCTTGAATTTTGTAAATCTGCAAGTTGAACAAAAAGTTTCACTTTTTCAATACCTTCACACATTATAAATTGTTATATCAATCGACATGGCCAGTAAGCTGTGACGCAGATGATCAATGGTTGCACCTATTCTTATTTTTTTGTCAAGTTGCTCCCATGTACAGATCATGCCTCCTGCATGATTTCTTCTCTGAACTGTCGTGTTGTCATCCTTTTGTCAGTCATCATGCAGGCGGCATCTGCTGTTAGTTTCACTCTGTATTCGAACCAAATGTTACTTTATGCTGCTTTTTTATGCAATGTAATTCTTCAAGTTTAAATCAAAAGAAAAGTACAACGCTGATCAGTTCTTGCTGTAACGTGTTCATATTGATTTCATTCACATCCAGATAATAAATTCTTGGAAATGATTATTGCCAGATTCCTTTAGTGTTCATCACCATAAAACAAGTGTTTCCCTCAGCGCAAACTGCTCTCCTCAACCATTTATTCAATTACTAATTAACTTTTGCCAGCAGAATGTGGGTTATGAGAGAATAAATGAGGATTCTTTATTGTTTTCTTCTGCTGACATCTATATAGTCAGGGCTGAGTCGAATTGCCCCTGCAGAGTTTAGAGTGCAGCATGTAATCTAAGACAGAAAAGATTATTTTTAGGTCTCCTGTTATCATTAAAAGCACTATAGCTGTCTCCTAACAGCAGGTCGTTTGAGATGCTGCTTTATTACCTGCAGAAAGGCCAGCTTCTAAAATCATCAGAAAATGAAAGAACATGTGTCTAAGTTTATGACGCTGTCTAGATATGTGAAATAGTCCTGATTTATTTCCACTAAAATGTGTTGTTTCATCCCCAATTATTTATAACATGCAAATTTGATCTTTAAGCGATACTTCACCTAATACCATTTTTACATGATTATTTCTGATTATAGTTGGTCACTCTGAGGTTTTCTTGCAGGCTGAACATGAAAACACTTATCCTGGCCTGCCAGACTCATCCTCTGTTTAATTCTTCACAGAAAACTAGTCTGGTTACTCACAGGCAGAGAGACACATGAGGGGCGGGACTAGCCAGCTCAAAAATAACCAATCAGAAAAAAGGCGGAAATGCCAACTGTACCACGCAACTCTGTAGTTTTTTTAGCTGTAGTCAAAGTAGCGTCTGGCGACAGCGCAAACAGTTTTCCTTAGAAGAAAGGCTAATCTTTTAGCGCTAAAGACATGCCCAAGTTATTTAGAACAGAGGAAAAGGCTGCAGCAAACTCCGCTTCAGTTTTCCTTGTTTATGAGACACTCAGCGTTGTGGTGTGCGACGTCCACGACGCTGTAGTTGTTTAGCTGTTGTCAAGAATGGCGTCTGGCGATAGCACAGACATCTTTCTTTAGAAGAAAGGCTTTTAGCACTTCTACTTGTTGTGGTTTTAAAGACGTGTTCAAGTCATTTAGAACAGAGGAAAGAGCCGCAGCGAACTCCACTTCAGACACTGTGTTTATGAAAAACTCAGCGTTGCGGTGTGTAACGTACGATACTCAGCGCTGATTGGCTCATTTAGACTTCTAAGGGGGTGGGGTTATTTGAATAGGAGAATTCCGGGCTGGCTGGTCAGGCTAGAAAATAGTCTCCTACACCTATCTCCTTCATTAGTCTCTGTTAGAAAATAGATGGTGAAACTAGGGTTTGAAAAGATCTACGTCACACTGCCACTTAACATACATGGACCCACCCATCTTTACTCATGACAGCGAAGGCTGTTGTTGGTTTAGCGTACAGGAAACAGCAGAGAACCTTTTGGCTAGTAGAAGCTTAACGTTAACATTAGCAACTCCACCACACGGCAGAACTCTTTCAGGCTTGTGTTATTTGTGGGAAAAAAACGTCAACACTGCAAAGCAAATGGAGTTAGTGTTGCTGTTATCCAATCGGAGGGGAAATGTCCAAATGTCAGGAAATAAGACTTACAGTAAAATCCCACTGTGTTCAGCTCAACTCCAATCTGGCTCACTTCTAGTTCCTGAAACAGGTGCACCAGAGCTTTTTTTCCCTGCTTGACTACGACTTACAAGGCATTCATTCCTACTAGAGACCACTGGAAATGTAATAAAATTATGAGAAAAAAACATCACTTTAAAATGTAGAACTAATATTGGTTTAATTGATTTAAATCTATAGTATTCAGTGTTATTAAATGAGCTATCCTTCAAAATGCATGACATTTGGTTGGTTTTAGTTAGACATTTTTAAAATGACAATTTGTAAGTTTTTAACAGATATTTCAGTGTTTATAATTAGGTTTCAGCTATAAAGAAAATATTTTACCGCTACAGGTCAGCATACAGTGCTGCTTTCAGAGTTTTTGTTTGAACAGTGAATGACAAAAATGCTTCTCTGTTTTCCAGTTGAATTGTTCACCAAATCCTTTATTCTGGTTGCATTCTGGGCTTTAACAGCAGAAACACCTGCAGTGTTTACAGCTGGCGTGTAAACACCTTGCCCCTGAGCTACAACCATTTATCCAGCTTTGCTTTGCCCTCTGTAGCCTCCCTGGCCCTTCCCAGACACCCACTATTGACTTCTCGTGAATGCACCAAAACGCAGCTTCCTCGGCTGTCTGAACTCCTTTTACAATCAAATGTTGAAGGTTCTTGTGCCGCTATGGATCACAAGAGGAGACCTATTGATTCAGCAGGCCTGGTTTTGGAGTCGTATCTGGTTACTGGGATGTGAATAACCTTGGAGGGAGTTTGGACTGAAGCTGAGTGCAGATGGATGCAGAAATGAGGTGATTCGCTGTTGGCTGTGAGGAAAAAGATTATTGAAAACTTTCTTTTTCTGTGTGAATGATTATTATATTTAAGTAACTTATCTGCTATTTTATGCATTTCTGTCATGCCAAAAGGTTTATACTACAAAAATCTGCCATTTTCTGTTATATATTCAGACAAAAAGCCACTTTAAGGGAAATTTCTAACAGTAAGCAAAGTGCTAACACCAGTTTCTTTTAAAGAATATTATTTGAACATAAAAGCTACAAAGTGCAGCTTTCGACCAAAATATCCCAGTTTCAGAAGAAACTGCAGACTTTAAACGTCTAAAATATCAGCGCTCAGTTTTTTTAATTTAAAATCTTTTAAATTGCCCCATACTTGTGTCACGATCACTACCTGCCACTCAAAATGTATAAAAGATAAAACTTTTATTTTAAAGTCGCTGAATATAAACTAATTAAAAGTCATTTGTTGTGAGTTAACATTTCTTAAAAGTAAAAATTAAAAAGTTGTAATTCATTGATTATTGAATGAGTTAACTTTCACTTCAGTGAGCTATGAGAACTGGCCGTGGTCCTCGGGGGTTGAGAATTAGAGTTTTAAATGTGTTCAAACTTCATTTGGCTTTTGTGGGTGTGTAAATCTAGATGAGTGAATGAAAAATGTTTAGTGGGGCAGTAGCTTCTTTCTTGATGCAACAGGAAGTTATACTTTGTAACAGTTTATGGTTATTGTTCAGGAGCATCGCTGATAGGCAAAAATGAGCAAGTCATGGTTTAACATCATTTGCTCTCTCTCTCTCTCTCTCTCTCTCTCGCTCACACACACACACACACACACACACACACACACACACACACACACACACACACACACACACACACACACACACACACACACACACTCCTGATGAACATCAGTGCTCCTCTTTGTCCTTCACCACTTCAGTTTTAGTCTTGCAGAAAAAAGTTTTTAGTCCATAAACATTTTTGCAGACGGTTTAGGCATCAGAAAAAAAAGCCCATGCTTTATTTTATTTCTTTAAGGAGAAGAAAGGGATTTATCGCATGCTTATTTTAATGGTCGAGCTTTGCTGTGCATCGTTCCTCTGGATTTGATGACATGCTAATGTGCAACTTCGCATTTATGCAAACCTCTGCTTCTGTAGTTTACACACTCTGACTTGTAGCTGAATAAATAAATCTCATAATTTACCTCAAATTGTTTGTGAAAATTATTTTGAACGTAGACTTCAACATGTGTTTTTAATTATCCAAAACCAGCCACAACACTTCATTTTTGATCTAGTTTTCTTCAAGCTTCTGAAGGTGTTTCATTACTCAGCTTGCCAAATAAATTCTCCGTGCAAACTGCTGCAGAGAAAACGAAATGAGGGGGAGACATAGAAATGTAATGTGTGATTTCCTGTACACGTTTGCATTGTGCAGTTTGCTGATGCAGTGCACACTTTGCATGAAAAGAGGGGCCAAACATACTGTTTAATTCCATCAGACAGTTCCATTCATTTACCGGCTATTGTTGAGAGCGCTGGATAACCAGTTGTTTCCATGGTGACACCTACTTGAGAGAAGACACAGACCTTCATTTCTGTTCGATTCAGGGACAAAACTGCAGGATTTGCTGAAGACCGAGTAAAGAGGTCATCCACACATCTTTATGAGGAGAGACGGGTTTGATTGTGTTGACTGCTGCCTTTGGCGAGGCCACTGAGCGTCCATCGGGGCTGAGCGCCTCAGCTGAGTTATTTGTACAGTCTTTGTTTGTGTCTGATTTATGGCTCTAATTAAAAAACACTCACCACTGCTAAACATTCACTAGCAATAACATCTACTGCAGGCGTGCACCCTGGGACAAGGTGCTGTAGTTAACTGGAATCACCTCCTCGCCTCCACGTTACCAGATCGTTTTTTTATGCCTTCGAACTGAGCGCAGCTTCCCTGGGACCCGTACAACGTAGTTCCTTTAGGCAGTATGTTGGCTTTATTCTCAGAGGCTGATTTATTCCTCGTAATAAGGAAATGACTAATAAGAGATGGGACATCTCACTTGTAATTAGCAATTCCACCGATCCTAGTGGGACCAGTGCAGATCTATATAAAATGCTTCCAGCTAATGCTTCTGACATTGTTTCTCACTGACTTTTCATTCCTCAGGTACTCCAATCACACAGTGCTCTATATAAACATGCCTATTTACACAGAATCACAAAAAAAAAAAAACACAGAAATTAAATTTCAGACATTAGATGGAGATGAAAGTTTTACACAACCCAAATAAAATGTGGATTTCATGACTAAAACGGAAAAGAATAAACATAATACGCTCCCAGTCAGCTGCTTACTGAGCATGCTCGGAGTTGTGGCACCTACGTGTCAATAAAGGAGTCATGGAGGGGATTAACACACACTGATAAGGAGGAAGAGAAGACAGCGCCACGTTTGCAATTTGTAGTAAAAAGTGCTGCAAAGGCCCGAACTGTGATTCAATTACTTTGTCACCTTCCTGTTCCCTCTTGCACATCCTTGTTATGTCTCCCTTTTCATTTCAGTTTTCACATTTATTTGGACTCAATGGTCATTGTTGCTGCACGATGGGGGAAACAAAAACTCTCATTATAAATACTACG